GTATTCTCCCCAGCTTGGTTAATATATGTGTATGTAGGTATTCTCCCCAGCTTAGTTAATATATATGCATGTAGGTATTCTCCCCAGCTTGGTTAATATATATGCATGTAGGTATTCTCCCCGGCTTGGTCAATATATATGCATGTAGGTATTCTCCCCGGCTTGGTTAATATATATGCATGTAGGTATTGTCCCCAGCTTGGTTAATATATATGCATGTAGGTATTCTCCCCAGCTTGGTCAATATATATGCATGTAGGTATTCTCCCTAGCCTGGTTAATATATATGCATGTAGGTATTCCCCCAGCTTGGTTAATATATATGCATGTAGGTATTCTCCCCAGCTTGGTTAATATATGTGTATGTAGGTATTCTCCCCAGCTTAGTTAATATATATGCATGTAGGTATTCTCCCCGGCTTGGCTAATATATATGCATGTAGGTATTCTCCCCGGCTTGGCTAATATATATGCATGTAGGTATTCTCCCCAGCTTGGCTAATATATATGCATGTAGGTATTCTCCCCGGCTTGGTTAATATATATGTAAATATTCTCCCCAGCTTGGTCAATATATATGCATGTAGGTATTCTCCCCGGCTTGGTCAATATATATGCATGTAGGTATTCTCCCCAGCTTGGCTAATATATATGCATGTAGGTATTCTCCCCAGCTTGGTTAATACATATGTATGTAGGTATTCTCCCCGGCTTGGTTAATATATATGCATGTAGGTATTCTCCCCAGCTTGGTCAATATATATGCATGTAGGTATTCTCCCTAGCTTGGCTAATATATATGCATGTAGGTATTCTCCCTAGCTTGGTTAATACATATGTATGTAGGTATTCTCCCCAGCTTGGTTAATATATATGCATGTAGGTATTCTCCCCAGCTTGGTTAATATATATGCATGTAGGTATTCTCCCCAGCTTGGTTAATATATATGTATGTAGGTATTCTCCCCAGCTTGGTTAATATATATGCATGTAGGTATTCTCCCCAGCTTGGTTAATATATATGCATGTAGGTATTCTCCCCAGCTTGGTTAATATATATATGCATGTAGGTATTCTCCCCAGCTTGGTTAATATATATGTATGTAGGTATTCTCCCCAGCTTGGTTAATATATATATGCATGTAGGTATTCTCTCCAGCTTGGTTAATATATATGCATGTAGGTATTCTCCCCAGCTTGGTTAATATATATATGCATGTAGGTATTCTCTCCAGCTTGGTTAATATATATGCATGTAGGTATTCTCCCCAGCTTGGTTAATATATATGTATGTAGGTATTCTCCCCAGCTTGGTTAATATATATATGCATGTAGGTATTCTCCCCAGCTTGGTTAATATATATGCATGTAGGTATTCTCCCCGGCTTGGTTAATATATATATGCATGTAGGTATTCTCTCCGGCTTGGTTAATATATATGCATGTAGGTATTCTCCCCGGCTTGGCTAATATATATGCACGTAGGTATTCTCCCCAGCTTGGTTAATATATATGCATGTAGGTATTCTCCCCAGCTTGGTTAATATATATGCATGTAGGTATTCTCCCCAGCTTGGCTAATATACATGCATGTAGGTATTCTCCCCAGCTTGGTTAATATATATGCATGTAGGTATTCTCCCCAGCTTGGTTAATATATATGCATGTAGGTATTCTCCCCAGCTTGGCTAATATACATGCATGTAGGTATTCTCCCCAGCTTGGTTAATATACATGCATGTAGGTATTCTCCCCAGCTTGGTTAATATACATGCATGTAGGTATTCTCCCCAGCTTGGCTAATATACATGCATGTAGGTATTCTCCCCAGCTTGGTTAATATACATGCATGTAGGTATTCTCCCCAGCTTGGTTAATATATATGCATGTAGGTATTCTCCCCAGCTTGGCTAATATACATGCATGTAGGTATTCTCCCCAGCTTGGTTAATATACATGGATGTAGGTATTCTCCCCGGCTTGGTTAATATATATGCATGTAGGTATTCTCCCCAGCTTAGTTAATATATATGCATGTAGGCTGGGGGCAGTCGCTCACCATACATACATATATATTAACCAAGCTGGGGAGAATACCTACATCCAGATCAAGGCGTGCTGGGAAGTCCTGTAAACAGCCTTTTGGAGTCCCAGTTGGAACAGGTCCTTGGCAGTGCATGTGCTCCGCCGGTGATACTTCAGAGAGCAGTCAGAGGGTCCCAGCTTATTATTAAGCCACTAGCTGAAATTATTAGCAATGTGCAAACAGGCAGCTCTAAAAATGTATTCAAATGCTTAAGCCTTCGCTTCGTATGTCTCAGGATGCTCTGAAGCCCAGAGGACTGGCCGGATTCCCGAGGTTTGAGAAGTTCCCTGGCACACTCCGTTTCCCACCTGAAGTTTCTCAGGACTGGTGGGTGCTCACTCTCCATTAGCCACGTATCCCACCTGGGATCATGTGTTGGTCAGAGGCCTACCATTCCTTCTGAAGCCTGAACAAGACTAATGCAATGTTACATTCCTCTAGTTACCTGATGAGAGGGTCCTTAATTCTTATTTCCGGCAATTTCTGGATATCTGACCTGTTCTCTATTCATTAGTTCATTAGGTTTGATCTTTTTTTTTTTTTTTTTTTTTTTTAAGACGGAGTTTCACTCTTGTTACCCAGGCTGGAGTGCAATGGCGCAATCTTGGCTCACCGCAACCTCCGCCTCCTGGGTTCAGGCAATTCTCCTGCCTCAGCCTCCCGAGTAGCTGGGACTACAGGCACACGCCACCATGCCCAGCTGATTTTTTGTATTTTTAGTCGACACAGGGTTTTTTCACCATGTTGACCAGGATGGTCTCGATCTCTTGACCTCGTGATCCACCCGCCTCGGCCTCCCAAAGTGCTGGGATTACAGGCTTGAGCCACCACGCCCGGACTGATCTTTTTTTTAAACATATTTTGAAGCTACATTCTTAGCATCATTTAAGTTTATAAGTGTTATAAATTCCTGGTGGAGGTTGAGCATGGTCACTCACACCTGTAATCCCAGCACTTTGGGAGACCGAGGCAGGCGGTTCCATTGAGGTCAGGAGTTCGAGACCAGCATGGCCAACATGGTGAAACCTGGTGTCTACTAAAAATATAAATAACAGCCAGGCACAGTGGTGGGCACCTATAAGCTCAGCTCCTTGAGAGACTGAGGCAGGAGAATCACTTGAATCTGGGAGATGGAGGTTGCAGTGAGCCGAGATCACATCGACAGATGTGGCGACAGAATGAGACTCCATCTCAACAAACAAACAAAAAATAAAACAGCAAAAAGAAACACACACACACACACACACAGAAACAAAAATTCCTGGTGGAAGTTTTTCATTATTTATACGCCTCCCTTTTCCCCATGAACGCCTTTTGCTGTAGGTTATGTTCGGTCTGACATTGGCAATGCCTCTAACTGGCTTTCAACAATTTTATTAGATATCACGAGTTTGCAGGTCGGGAATTCAGGCAGGGCTGGGTTGCACGTGTTCTGCTCCGTGTGACTCTGACAGAGGCCACTGGTGGTATTCGGCTGGTGGGTGGACTGATTTGGAGGGTCGGAGGTAGCTTCACTCACATGCCTGGCGTCTTGCCGGCTCTGGCTAGGACGCTGGGTTCAACTGGGACAGCTTACTGGAGTGTCTGCAGATGGCCTGTCGGGAATGATGGCTGCCAGGTGCTCGGGGCCCCCACCTCATTAGCTGGGACATTCCTACAGGCTAAGCTGATATAACTAAGAGCCCTGGAATACAGTGACATCAACAAGATAAAGCCTACGCCACCCTCAACAGCAGCCACAGAGGCAGCCGGGGCCGGCAGGAAGGCGCCGCAAAGGGAGCCAGGAGGCAGCACATCCCATTCTTTTAAGAAAAGTCTTTGGCCAGGCGCGGTGGCTCATGCCTGTAATCCCAGCACTTTGGGAGGCCAAGGCGGGTGGATCACGAGGTCAACAGATCGAGACCATCCTGGTCAACAAGGTGAAACCCCGTCTCTACTAAAAATACAAAAAATTAGCTGGGCATGGTGGTGCGTGCCTGTAATCCCAGCTACTCGGGAGGCTGAGGCAGGAGAATTGCCTGAACCCAGGAGGCAGAGGTTGCGGTGAGCCGAGATCGCGCCATTGCACTCCAGCCTGGGTGACAAGAGCGAAACTCTGTCTCAAAAAAAGAAGAAGAAATTAAAAAAAAGAGATGGATGAGGGCTAGGAGGGCTAGGCGCTTGGAATTTTCAGCGTGTTGGTCAGGGGAGGTGTGAAGAAAAAAACAAATCTGAATAAGGAACTGAAGGAGAAAGAACTTGAGCCATAAAATTATTTGGAAGACGAAGGTTCAGGGAGAGGGAGGGGTGGGACAGGTGCCAGGCTGGGGGGTGGGACAGGTGCCAGATGGGGTCATTCTCCTGCCGCAGCCTCCTGAGTAGCTGGGATTACAGGTGCCCACCACCAGGCCCAGCTGATTTTTGTGTTTTTAGTGGAGACGGGGTTTCACCATGTTGGCCAGGCTGGTTTCTAACTCCTGATCTCAGGACCCACCTGCCTCAGCCTCCCACGGTGCTGGGATTACAGGCGTGAGCCACCGCGTCTGGCTAAACTTTTAACTGCATTCGAGTGTAGCTTTGCGGTTTCTTTTGCCTGTGAATTCTCAGGCTGGAAATGAAAGTAAAACTTTCAGCAGAACAATAATCCAAAATCTATTCCCTCCAGTAAGTTACATTTTCCCAGCCCCACACCTGACTCTATCATCCTGGATTTTGCTACCCCTAAAAAAATCCCCAGACTACGCCTGTAGTCCCAGCTACTCGGGGAAGCTGAGGCAGGAGAATTGCTGAGCTTGGGAGGCGGAGGTTGCAGTGAGCCAAGATGCCGCCACTGCACTCCAGCCTGGGTGACAGAGCGAGACTCCGTCTCAAAAAAAAAAAAAAAAAAAAAGGAAAAAAAATTCCCAGACTAATTAAAAAAAAACAAACAAACAGATGATTTGACAAGAAATATTTTATTCTCTCCATTCTGCTTCAAACTGCCTCCCTTTATTTCTGGAGGAGACTCCCGTGGATAAAAGTAGGCTACTTTGAAGAACGTTTTCAAGTCAAGACACAGACTCTCAGACTTAACAGCGTTATTTGTATTACTCAACAGCTCATGTTATACTTGGAATGATTCTAAAGAACACGATTACTTTCAATGTGTTGCAGGAAAATTCCCTGATTACCCCAGAATCTTCCAAACAGTCCTCAGATTGCCATTGCCTCATTAACAACACGTTATACTGATTCCAAGAATGAATCAATCAAACCTAACCCACGCCAGAAGTGTTTTAGAGTAAGGCAAGTGCTTCCCAACGTCTTCGTGAGACCCGAGGACTTAACTTGAGGATCTGAGTCGCAGCCTAGGGTACCTAGAAAGGGTTTCAGAAGGAACAGAAGGAGCCGGAGGAGGAGAGGAACAGGGATTCGTAGATATCTGTGACTTCAGACGTCTTGCTCCTTGGGAATGTTCCCGCTGAGCATGCCCAGATCTGTGGGAGAAAAGGAGGTGAACTGGTTTTTCTCACTGTCGCTCCCCAAACCAGGTTCTTGAGGTTGGGAATGAAACTAGAGAGGAAGATCTCTTTAGGTCATCTGAGAGCCGCCTTTTCTTTTCCCTCTCTCTTTCCTTTTCCTATTTGTTTATTTATTTATTTTTGTCTTTACATGGAGTCTTGCTCTTTCGCCAGGCTGGAGTGCAGTGGCATGATCTCGGCTCACTGCAAACTCCGCCTCCCGGGTTCAAGCCATTCTCCTGCCTCAGCCTCCCAAGTAGCTGGGATTACAGGCGTGAGCCAATGCACCTGGCTAATTTTTCTATTTTTAGTAGAGATGTTTTTTTTTTTTTTTTGAGACGGAGTTTCGCTCTTGTTACCCAGGCTGGAGTGCAATGGCGCGATCTCGGCTCACCGCAACCTCCACCTCCTGGGTTCAGGCAATTCTCCTGCCTCAGCCTCCTGAGTAGCTGGGATTACAGGCATGCGCCACCGTGCCCAGCTAATTTTTTGTATTTTTAGTAGAGATGGGATTTCACCATGTTGACCAGGATGGTCTCGATCTCTTGACCTCGTGATCCGCCCGCCTCGGCCTCCCAAAGTGCTGGGATTACAGGCACGCGCCACCGTGCCTGGCTAATTTTTTGTATTTTTGGTAGAGATGGGATTTCACCATGTTGACCAGGATGGTCTCAATCTCTTGACCTCATGATTCACCCGCCTCAGCCTCCCAGAGTGCTGGGATTACAGGCGTGAGTGACCGCGCCCGGCCGAGATGGGGTTTCACCAAGTAGGCTGGGCTGGTCTTGAACTCCTGTCCTCAGGTGATCCACGCGCCTCAGCCTCCCAAAGCGCTGGGATTACAAGCCTGAGCCACTGCACCTGGCCGCTTTCCTTCATTTTCCTCTCCCCACATATTTTCCCTTTTCATCCCCATTTTAAGAAGGTGGTGGTGGGTGTTTTCAGGAGTCAGAATGTCCTTGAGGTGAAGGAGGAAATTAGTGAATTCAGGGCGTGTATTTTATCCGGCATTGTCCAGTACATGCTTTGGAAATCAGTTAGTGGAGCTGAAATAAGGACATAGCGTTTCCAAGATTTGGGATAGGGTTAAGAAGGAGCGGGGGTTGGGGTGGAAGTCCAGTGAAAGGAAAGCTGGAAAAGCAGGGGTTGGGGCCTCTGCTGAGCTCATGACTGGGTGGGAAGAGGGCAGCCGAAGGCTGTGTTTGGATCATTTAATACATTCCCTTAACAAATATTTACCAAGTACCTACTATGTGCCATGCATTGTGCTAGGCAGTGCGTAACACAAAGGCCCCCACTCGTATAGGCCGGGCGCGGTGGCTCACGCCTGTAATCCCCACATTTTGGGAGGCAGAGGCAGGTGGATTGAGGTCAGGAGTTTGAGACCAGCCTGGCCAACATGGCGAAACCCCGTCTCTACTAAAAATACAAAAATTAGCCAGGTGCGGTGTCGTGTGCATGTAATCCCAGATACTCGGGAGGCTGAGGCAGGAGAGTCGCTTGAACCCAGGAAGCAGACGTTGCAGTGAGCCGAGGTCATGTCACTTCATTCCAGCCTGGGCGACAGAGTAAGACTCCATGTTAAAAAAAAAAAAGAAGAAGAAGAAGAAGACAATGCAGGAAATGAAGGTCTTATTTAGGAGAGAGGCTGAAGTTGGAAGTGAACCACGAGGTCAGTGTGTGGGGTTTGAGGTTGATGTTGCAGCTAAGGTTAAGCTTGGGGGTGACACTGGAGCAGGTCAAGGCTGGGTGTGGGGTCCTGATTGTGGAAGTGCTAGATGGAGAGTGGAAAGGAGAGCCGGACCACGAGGCGGGATGGGAGGTGAAGGAAGAGAGTTCAAGGGAGCAGTCGAGGCCAGGATGGGGATTCACATTTGAGGATGAGCGGACTGGGTAGGGGCTGTGTGTGAGGGTGAGTGGACGGGGTCGGGGATGTGTGTGATGGTGAGTGGATGGGGTAGGGGCTGTGTGTGAGGGTGAGTGGACGGGGTAGGGGCTGTGTGTGAGGGTGACTGGACGGGGTAGGGGCTGTGTGTGATGGTGAGTGGACGGGGTAGGGGCTGTGTGTGAGGGTGAGTGGACGGGGTAGGGGCTGTGTGTGAGGGTGGGTGGACGGGGTAGGGGCTGTGTGTGAGGGTGAGTGGACGGGGTAGGGGCTGTGTGTGAGGGTGGGTGGACGGGGTAGGGGCTGTGTGTGAGGGTGACTGGACGGGGTAGGGGCTGTGTGTGATGGTGAGTGGACGGGGTAGGGGCTGTGTGTGAGGGTGAGTGGACGGGGTAGGGGCTGTGTGTGAGGGTGAGTGGACGGGGTAGGGGCTGTGTGTGATGGTGAGTGGACGGGGTAGGGGCTGTGTGTGAGGGTGAGTGGACGGGGTAGGGGCTGTGTGTGAGGGTGAGTGGACTGGGTAGGGGCTGTGTGTGAGGGTGAGTGGACGGGGTAGGGGCTGTGTGTGAGGATGAGTGGACAGGGTAGGGGCTGTGTGTGAGGGTGAGTGGACGGGGTAGGGACTGTGGGTGAGGGTGAGTGGACGGGGTAGGGGCTGTGTGTGATGGTGAGTGGACAGGGTAGGGGCTGTGTGTGAGGGTGAGTGGACGGGGTAGGGGCTGTGTGTGATGGTGAGTGGACGGGGTAGGGGCTGTGTGTGAGGGTGAGTGGATGGGGTCCGGGCTGTGTGTGATGGTGAGTGGACGGGGTACGGGCTGTGTGTGAGGGTGAGTGGACGGGGTAGGGGCTGTGTGTGAGGGTGAGTGGACGAGGTAGGGGCTGTGGGTATAGCTGAGGAGGTCCATGGTTGGCTCCAGTTCCCTCCCTTTTTTCCGTTACCCTCAAAGCTCTGCCTGCCCTTCTGTTTGTGTCTCTCCTCTGTGTTTCCTGCTTCACCTCCCGTCTCTGGCTTGGCAGAAGTCTCCATCAGAGTCCTCTTGGAGGCCTGCTGAGCGCGGGAATAGGGAAGCCCATCTACAAACAAAAACACAGCGTTCACATTCTCACGTGTAAGTGGCAGCTAAATGATGAGAACCCACGGACATACAGAGGGAACAGCAGACGCTGGGCCCACCCGATGTGGGGGAGGCGAGGAGGGAGAGGAGCAGGAAAGAATCGTGATTGCTCACTCAGCTTGGTACCTGGGTGATGAAATAATCTGTCCAACAAACCCCCGTGACACAAGTTTTCCTGTATAACAAAACCTGCATATGTACCCCGTAACCTACAATAAACGTTTAAAAAGTATATAAGGCCAAGTGCGGTGGCTCACACTTGTAATCCCTGCACTCTGGGAGGCCGAGGCAGGCGGATCACCTGAGGTTAGTCGTTTGAGATCAGCCTGGCCAACACAGTGAAACCCCATCTCTACTAAAAATCCAAAATTAGCTGGGCGTGGTGGTGGGTGCCTGTAATCCCAGCTACTCAGGAGGCTGAGGCAGGAGAATCGCTTGAACCCAGGAGGCAGAGGTTGCAGTGAGCCAGGATCACGCCACTGCACTCCAGCCTGAACAACAGAGCGAGACTCTGTCGCAAAAAAAAAAAAAAAAAATTTCGAAGAAGGAATGTGACTAGTGTGTAACGAGTAGAACCCACAGACCGTGTGAACATCCTGTGATGCGCAGGACTGGCCCCCAGAGCAGGGAATTATCCAGTCCCAAACGCCAGTTGTGCCGGAGCTGAGAAGCCGTGCCCTAAATTCTCTTCATTTCCCACCAGTGTTAGGGACAAGGATGAGGCTGTGTTGAAGTCACGTGTGGCTTTCACAGTGTGCACATTCAAGTGTCCACACCCCCCGGCACCTCTGCAATTCGGTCCTTTGAGATGTAGAATGGGAAGGAGGGGGGAACCCCAGAAAGAGTATCTGGTCACCTGACTAGAGATAGGAAGAGACATGGCGGACGGGGAGTATTGACTCTTAACAGCCACGACCCAATTCATTTCTTTTTTTTTCTTCTTTTTTGAGATGGAGCCTCACTGTGTCACCCAGGCTGCAGCGCAGTGGCTCCATCTCGGCTCACTGCAACCTCCACCTCCCGGGTTCAAGTGATTCTCCTGCCTCAGTGTCCTGAGTAGCTGGATTACAGGTGTCTGTCACCATGCCAGGCTGGTATTTGTATTTTTAGTAGAGATGGGGTTTCACCACATCGGCCAGGCTGGTCTTGAACTCCTGACCTCAGGTGATCCACCTGCCGTGGCCTCCCAATGTGCTGGGATTAGAGGCGTGAGGCACCGCGCCCGGCCGACCCGTTTCATTTCTACCATATGCTAGACAGTTCCAGGAAACACATGTGCATTTTCTCACTGAGTCATGCAACTAAACCCTGAGTTTATTCCATTTATGCATTTCAAATTGGAGGACTCTGGTGAGGACTCTGGTGAGGCAAAGAGGAAGTATGCGGCCCGTGGTTCAAAAACGATTCAGAATTTCAAGTTGGTGACAAATGGCATTAAAGCAAGCGCGGGCTCCGGGAGACTGCACAGAAGCCTGAAGGAAAGGCATCACCTGCCTGAGGCTCCCCACATAGTAAGTGACAGGGTGAGGGCCAGAGCTCACATCGACCCATTTCCAAAGCCAGCAGAGAGCCGGCGGACAAGGACGCCGGAGAAGACGTCTAAAAGTCCCCGTTCACTCACCGATGGCCTTCCACAGGTCCAGGATCACCAGGGCGGCCTCCCTGTCCCGGTCTTGGTCACCCGTCTGGGGAAGGTGGAGGACTGGATGGGGGTGGAGAGAGCAAGAGCAGCTGTTCGGTGAACACATAATCCAGCGATTCCACAGCACGGCTCACTGGACGCGGCGCCTCCACCGCTGTAGGACGGGGTGCCTGTTGGCTGTTCCCACCCGTGGCTGAGAGTGGGGTCACTCACTGAAAATTACACTGCTGCTAACGGCAGGACCAGCTTTGAACCCACCTCTGTCCGGCTCCACATCTCACGTCCCTTCTGCTCTGCCGCACTGTCTCTGGAGCCGGGGTTTCCGTGTATGAAGCTCAGGCTGAAACCTACCTTGAGCACCACGGGAACCTCGGTATTTTACTGATTTAATGCTCACTAGTCAGCATGTGGCCATGGGCACACCTGATGCCCAGGGAAGATGCAAGTGGGGAGACGGGGAGACACGAATGGAGGAAAAGAGAAAAAAAAGAGTAGCAGCTAATCGTTACACGGTGCCTGCTACGCACCACCTATTGTTCTATTAATAACTCAGTCCTCCAAACACTCACTGGCACAGATGAGGAAACTGAGGCACGGAGAGATCAAGGCTGCGGCTGGGTGCGGTGGCTCATGCCTGTAATCCCAGCACTTTGGGAGGCCAAGGTGGGCAGATCACAAGGTCAGGAGTTCGAGACCAGCCTGACCAACATGATGAAACCTCCGTCTCTACTAAAGATACAAAAAAAAAAAAAAAATAGCCAGGCATGGGTTGGCAGACACCTGTAATCTCAGCTACTCAGGAGGCCGAGGGAGGATAACTGCTTGAACCCAGGAGATGGAGGTTGCAGTGAGCCAAGATTGCACCATTGAACTCCAGCCTGTGTGACAGAGTGAGACTCTGTCAAAAAAAAAAAAAAGAGAGAGAGAGAGAGGGATGAAGGTTGCAAACCAAGCAGAGCTGGGATTTGCGCCCAAGGCTCTGGTTCAAGTCCACACACCCATCGCTCCGCCTAGACTAACCCTTGAGACAGGTCTGCAGATAAACCCATGGGTCTCAGTGAATGTGGGTGAGGGTCTTTACAAGCCACAAACTCACGGCTTGCAGCAAGCAGGCAGACTCAGGCCAGGGGTGGCGAGCTGAGAGCAGCCTCACTCACCGGGACCCAGAAGGTAGCCAGCGCTGTTGAGGGTCCAGCCTCCTCGCCCCTGGATAGAGAAGCAGAAATCAAGACTCAGGCAGACAGAAAGGGTGGCAGGCATCCCACAGGTCCAGGGTGACGTGGGTCACCATAACCACCTTCCCACTAGGCTGTGGAGCAGGTTCACTTTAATCCCCAGTCCACCGATGAGGAAACTGAGGGTGTCCTGAGACGAAGCAACTTTGCCTGGAAAGAAAGCTTAAAGGGTTCTGCTGTGCGAGGAGAAAGGGGTTATCAGGGGTTGGCGGGGAGAGAAGTCAACATGGACAGTTTCAGTTATTCAGGATAAAGAGGTCCTAGAGGTCGTGGGCACGTCGTGCCTGCAGCCAGCAACACGGTGTGGGGCACTTTAGAGACATGTTAAGGCTGGGCGTGGTGCTCACGCCCGTCATCCTAGCATTTTCGGAGGCGGAAGCAGAAGGATGGCTTGAGAACAGGAGTTCAAGGCCAGCCTGGGCAACGTGGCAAAACCTCGCCTCTACAAAAAACACAAAAACCAGGCTGGGCATGGTGGCTCACGCCTGTAATCCCAGCACTTTGGGAGGCTGAGGTGGCCGGATCACCTGAGGTCAAAAGTTCGAGACCAGCCTGGACAGCATGGAGAAACCCCATCTCTACTAAAAAGAAAAAAATTAGTGGGGTGTAATGTCAGCTACTTGGGAGGCTGAGGCAGGAGAATCGCTTGAATGCGGGACGTGGAGGTTACAGTGAGCCGGGATTGCACCGCTGTACTCCAGCCTGGGCAACAGAGTGAGACTTTGTCTCAAAAAAATAAAATAAAAAATTAGCTAGGCATGGTGGCGTGCACCTGTAGGTAAGAGGACCGCTTGAGCTCAGGAGTTTGAGGCTGCAGTGAGCTATGATCAAACCCCTGCACTCCAACCTGGGTGACAGAGCAAGATCCTGTCTCAATAAATAAGTAAAAATATGAAACTAGATCTCGTGATAAGGATTCTTACCAAAACATCTGCAGACACACACACAAGAACACGGGCCTTTCTGGAGGTGGCGATGGATACATTCAGGACTTCGGCTGTGGTGACGGTGTCACAGGTGTATGTGTAGCTCCAAACGCTTTGAGATGCATACATTCAATGCGTGCATTTTCTGTCATTTTTTGGTTTTGAGATGGAGTTTTGCTTTTGTTGCCCAGGCTGGAGTGCAATGGTGCGATCTCAGCTCACCACAACCTCCGCCTCCCACGTTCAAGCGATCCTCCTGCCTCAGCCTCCTGAGTAGCTGGGATTACAGGCATGTACCACCACGCCCAGCTAATTTTGTAATTTTAGTAGAGAGAGTTTCTCCATGTTGGTCAGGCTGATCTCAAAGTGCTGGGATTATAGGCATGAGCCACCACATCCAGCCATTTTTTGCATGTTAATTATACCGTAATAAAACTTAAAGAAGCACCACTGTAAATTCTTTCCCTGTGTAGGGTACGGTCATAGATCAAGTCCCTTTGAGAATGATATTGCCCAACATTTACTGTGGGCTTACCCTATGCCGGCATCTATTCTAAGCAGGACTGGCTACGGAATGTGTGGGGTCCAGTGCAAAGAGAAAATATGGGGCCCATTCTTCAAAAAGGATTCCGAATTTCAAGCTGGTGACAAAAGAACGTTCAACCAAGCTCGGGACCCAGGGAACTGCACAGGTTGCATGCCCGTCAGCCCAGCTCTAGTTCCCAGCTCTTGACATGTTTATTTTATTTTATTTATTTCCTTTTTTTGAGACGGAGTTTCGCTCTTGTCACCCAGGCTGGAGTGCAATGGGGTGAGCTCGGCTCACCGCAACCTCCGCCTCCTGGGTTCAGGCAATTCTCCTGCCTCAGCCTCCCGAGTAGCTGGGATTACAGGCACGCGCCACCATGCCCAGCTACTTTTTTGTATTTTTAGTAGAGACGGGGTTTCGCCATGTTGACCAGGATGGTCTCGATATGTTGACCTCGTGTATGATTTAATGCTCACTAGTCAGCACGTGGCCATGGGCACACCTAATGCCCAGGGAAGATGCAAGTGGGGAGATGGGGAGAGATGAATGGAGGAAAAGAGAAAAAAACAGTAGCAGCTAATCGTTACACGGTGCCTGCTACGCACCACCTATTGTTCTATTAATAACTCAGTCCTCCAAACACTCACTGTCACAGATGAGGAAACTGAGGCACGGAGAGATCAAGGCTGCAGCTGGGTGCGGTGGCCACCCGCCTCGGCCTCCCAAAGTGCTGGGATTACAGGCTTGAGCCACCGCGCCCGGCCTTGACATGTTTATTTAACAACCCTCCCAGCAACCCTGGTGGGTAAAACTTACTATTAGCTTCACTAGAAAGAAGCTGTTGAGACCAGAAAGATTCAGGGAATTGCAACACGCTAAGTAGCACAGCATGGACTCAAACCCAGAGAGATTACAGACGCTTTTTTTTTTTTTTGAGATGGAGTCTCACACCTCACTGGGTCACCCAGGCTGGAGTGTTGTGGTGCTATCTCGGCTCACTGCAACCTTGGCCTCCCTCCCACCATGTCCAGCTAATTTTTGTATATTTAATAGAGACGGGGTTTCACCATGTTGTCTAGGCTGGTCTCCAGCTCCTGACCTCAGGAGATCTGCCCACCTCAGCCTCCTAAAGTGCTGGGATGACAAGCCTGAGCCTCCACTCCTGCGCAGTCAGTAGATTCCAGACTCTTGAGGAGGATGTGCACTGAATATTTTCGCTACAGTGTTCCACTCTGTAAGATGGGAAGTAGCGGCCAGGCACGGTGGCTCACGTCTGTAATCCCAGCACTTTGGGAGGCCGAGGCGGGTGGATCACAAGGTCAACAGATCGAGACCATCCTGGTCAACATGGTGAAACCCCGTCTCTACTAAAAATACAAAAATTAGCTGGGCATGGTGGCGCGTGCCTGTAATCCCGGCTACTTGGGAGGCTGAGGCAGGAGAATTGCCTGAACCCAGGAGGCGGAGGTTGCGGTGAGCCGAGATCGCGCCATTGCACTCCAGCCTGGGTAACAAGAGAGAAACTCCGTCTCAAAATAAAATAAAATAAACAAATATCCTGGCAAGAACCCAGCCAGCACGGAGGAGAGCTGTTGTCCCAGCGCAGGGCAGCGGGTGCCAAGCCTGGGTCCTCTCTGTGGCTGCTGTGGTCAGCATTTCTTTCCTTTCCTTTCTGTTCTTTTTCTGTTTGTTGTTTCTTTGAGATAGAGTCTTGCTCTTCCGCCCCGGCTGGAGTGCAGTGGCACCATCTCAGCTCATTGCAACCTCAACCTCCTGGGTTCAAGCAATTCTCCTGCCTCAGCCTCTTGAGTAGCTGGGACTACCGTCACGCACAACCATACCCAGCTAATTTTTTTTTGAAACGGAGTCTCACTCTGTCAACCCAGGCTGGAGTGCAGTGGCGCGATGTTGGCTCACTGCAACCTCTGCCTCCTGGGTTCAAGTGATTCCCCGGCCACAGCCTCCCAAGTAGCTGGGACGACAGGTGGCCATCAGCACGCCTGGCTAATTTTTTGTGTTTTTAGTAGAGACAGGGTTTCACCGTGTTAACCAGGATGGTCTCAATCTGCTGACCTTGTGATCCACCTGCCTTGGCCTCCCAAAGTGCTGGGATTACAGGTGTGAGCCATCACGCCAGGCCATTAATTTTTTTTTTTAAGAGATGGAGGGTCTCACTATGTTGCCCAGGCTGCTCTCCAACTCCTGGACTCAAGCAGTCCTTTAGTCTTAGCTGCTCAAAGTACTGGAATTTCAGGGGTGAACCACTGTGCCTGGATGCTTTTTTTTTAATTGGCAGAGAAAATTTGCATTTTAAATCTAGGCATGGTGCACAACATGTGTAGAAATACGTCCACATTGTGGAGTGACTCCCTCAAGTTAATTAGTGTCTGCATTACGTCACGTGCTTGTCCCTTCTGTGGCGGGAACACTGAACATCCATCTATTCTCTTAGCAGTTTTCAAGTATACGACATATTGTTATCAACAACGCCACCATGTTCATTCCTCCCCTCCAACTGAAACTGTATGTATCCCCAGACCAACATCTCTCTCTTTTTCTTTTTTCTTTTTGAGACGGAGTTTCGCTCTTGTTACCCAGGCTGGAGTGCAATGGCGCGATCTCGGCTCACTGCAACCTCCGCCTCCTGGGTTCAGGCAATTCTCCTGCCTCAGCCTCCTGAGTAGCTGAGATTACAGACACGCGCCACCGTGCCCAGCTAATTTTTTGTATTTTTAGTAGAGATGGGGTTTCACCTTGTTGAGCAGGATGGTCTCGATCTCTTGACCTCGTGATCCACCCGCCTCGGCCTCCCAAAGTGCTGGGATCACAGGCGTGAGCCACCGTGTCCGGCCAACATCTCTTAATTATTAAATCCTCTTGGCTAAATAATGAGAGCTGTCTGCCATCTGAGTTAACACTGTTAACTTTTATAGTGCTGGAACTGGACAAAGAAGATCCATTCAGAGACCAGAGAGGTTAAGCAATGTGCCTGAAGTCACACAGCTCGAAAATCACAGATCCCAGATTTCAAACTCAACCCAACCTCTACAGCCCACACTGTGGAGGTATGCAATCACAGGTTTTCAAAGTGTCGCCCCAGGCTGGGTGCGGTGGCTGAGACCTGTAATCCTAGTGCTTTGAGAGGCCAAGGTGGGCGGATCACTTGGAGCCCGGAGGTCAGGAGTTCAAGACCAGCCTGGCCAACGTGGTGAAACACCATCTCTTCTTAATACAAAAAATTAGCCAGGCGTGGTGGCAGGCACTTGTGATCCCAGCTACTTGGGAGGCTGAGGCAGGAGAATTGCCTGAACCCAGGAGGCGGAGGTTGCGGTGAGCTGAGATCAAGCCACTGCACTTTAGCCTGGGTGGCAGAGGCGAGACTGAGACTCCATCTCAAACAAACCAAAAATCAACAACAACAAAGTGTGATCCCAAGAGTGAAATGCTGTCTCGAAAAAGAAGAAGAAAAAGTAATACCGGGACCCACTTTTTTTTTTTTTTGAGACGGAGTTTCGCTCTTGTTGCCCAGGCTGGAGTGCAATGGTGCGATCTCAGCTCACTGCCTCCTGGGTTCAAGAAATTCTCCTGCCTCAGCCTCCCAAGTACCTGGGATCACAGGCACACGCCACCACGCCCAGCTAATATTGTGTATTTTTATTAGAGACAGGGTTTCACCATGTTGGTCAGGCTGGTCTCGAACTCCTGACCTCCGGTGATCTGCCCGCCTCAGCTTCCCAAAGTGCTGGGATTATAGCTGTGAGGCACCGCGCCTGGCCGAAGGGTGCCAGTATCACTTGAAGTTGCCTTCTAGCTGCTGCTCACACATCCTGAGGGGCTGAAAAACAGGAGCGACAAGAAGCTGCCTCCGAAGGCATGTTTTTGCACCTCTGGGCAACGCTTGCTGTGAGGAGGTTTTAGCTTTGCGCACCCTGAACCCTGACCTTGTATTTTTCACCCACACTCTGTTCTATCCTCAGAGCCAAGATGAAGTCAGTGTCTGCCTTTCTTCTCATATTCCAGGACTTCAGCTTCTTCCCCAGGACCCCTGACTCAAGCCAGGAACATTTTTTAAAACTCTTCCCAGAGGGCAGGGATTTGGGGACGCCATGGTTTCCGAGGCGCTTAGGGAGGCGGAGGTATTACCTGGTGGGTAGGTGCGGATATCGGAGTCTTTGCCAGGCTCAGCAGGAGGATGAGGAGGAGGGCCAGGGGGGCGGAGGGAGCCATCGAGGGCAGGACGACAGGTGCCTACAGCCGCAAAACACTGCAGGGAGAGAATGATCACTCATTTTCCAAATTGGGGGCCAGGTACATTTCCAATAAGGACAGAGGAGACTGGGCACGGTGGCTCAAGCCTGTAATCCCAGCACTTTGGGAGGCCGAGGCGGGTGGATCACGAGTTCGAGAGATCGAGACCATCCTGGTCAACATGGTGAAACCCCGTCTCTACTAAAAATACAAAAAAAATTAGCTGGGCATGGTGGCGCGTGCCTGTAATCCCAGCTACTCAGGAGGCTGAGGCAGGAGAATTGCCTGAACCCAGGAGGCGGAGGTTTCGGTGAGCCGAGATTGCGCCATTGCACTCCAGCCTGGGTAACAAGAGCGAAACTCCGTCTCAGAAAAAAAAAAAAAAAAAAAAAAGGACAGAGGAATTTGATTTTTAGCTATGGAGGCATCACTGAGATACAACAATGATGCGTATTTAATGTACACATCCTGAGGAGTTTGACGTGTGCAGACAGTCCTGATGTTATTGCCACAGCCGCGGAGCTAAGACCTGTTCGTCACCTCCAGAAAGGCCCTGTGCTCTTCGATGATTTCCTTTTGGATAGAGCCCTTCACCTGCAATCTCCCCTCCCTTGTGGCTTTTTTGTTTTGTTTTTGAGATGGAGTTTCCCTCTTGTTGCCCAAGCTAGAGTGCAATGGCATGATCTCGGCTCACTGCGATTCTCCTGCCTCAGCCTCCTGTGTAGCTGGGATTACAGGCACCCACCACCGTGTCCGGCTAATTTTTGTATTTTTTGTTTGTTTGTTTTTGTTTTTTTGAGGCGGAGTTTCGCTCTTGTTACCCAGGCTGGAGTGCAATGGCGCGATCTCGGCTCACCGCAACCTCCGCCTCCTGGGTTCAGGCAATTCTCCTGCCTCAGCCTCCTGAGTAGCTGGGATTACAGGCATGCGCCACCATGCCCAGCTAATTTTTTTTTTTTTTTTTGTATTTTTAGTAGAGACGGGGTTTCACCTTGTTGACCAGGATGGTCTCGATCTCTTGACCTCGTGATCCACCCGCCTCGGCCTCCCAAAGTGCTGGGATTACAGGCGTGAGCCACTGCGCCCGGCCTAATTTTTGTATTTTTAGGAGGGATGGGGGTTTCACCATGTTGGCCAGGCTGGTCTTGAACTCCTGACTTCCAGTGATCTGCCCATGAGCCACTGCACCCAGCCGCGCTTCCACCTTTGCTGAAGTTTTTATGAAGCTTCGTTTTGAAATGTATGTATGTGGGTGAAACGAGAGAGTTGGTTGAGGGAAAATGGTGAACCCAGTAAGTGTGGGAAGCTGGGAACAAAAATATAGGAAAGAAACAAAAGCAGCAGGACGCATGAACGCCCCTGGGTTAAGAACTCCGGGGGAGTCCAAGTGCCCTGGCTCACACCTGCAATCCCAGCACCGAGAGGCTGAGGAGGTCAGATCACCTGAGGTCAGGAGTTGGAGACCAGCCTGGCAACACGGCAAAACCCTGGCTGTACTAAAAATACAAAAATTAGCCAGGTGAGATGGTGTGGGCCTGCAGCCCCAGCTACTCAGGAGGCTGAGGCAGGTGAATCGCTTGAACCTGGGAGGTGGAGGTTGCAGTGAGCCTAGATAGTGCCATGGCACTCCAGCCTGGGCAACAGAGTGAGACTTTGTCTCAAAAAGAAAAGAAAAGAAAGAAAAGGGAAGGGAAGGAGAGATGGAGGGAGGGAGGGAGAGAGAGAGAGAGAGAGAAAGAAAAGAAAGAAATAATAAAGAGAAAGGAAGGAAGGAAAGAAAAGAAAAAGAAAAGGAAATCCAGGGGAATTAACCCTCTCCTTCCTCAAACATCGGATCGGTCCGGCTGGTCCCCCCAGCACCCATGCCTTCTGCCTCACTGCCTCCTCCACTCCATCTTCAAACCCTTCTGTCCATGTACCTGCCCCTCACCTTTTTCCTGTCACCAATGCTGCCGTTTCTCCTGTTGTCCCCATCCCTCCACGCCCCCCATCACTCCCCCAGCCCTCGGCCCTCCCGGCCCAGGCTCTCACCTCGCTGCAGCTGGCTGCTCTCAGAAGCTCTCTCTGGCTCCCGGCTCCAGCGCCTGGACTCTGGTACCCACCCTGGGCTTTTATGCCTCCTGAGGAGACAATACAAGGGAGGGGGAAAGGGAGGGGATTAGGAGGAAGGGAGGAGAGGGAGAGGAAGCAGGTGGGGAAGAGTCATCCACTTCAGGGGCTTTCTTTTTTTCTTTTTTTTTGAGACAGTCTCAATCTGTCGCCCAGGCTGGAGTGCAATGGCATGATCTTTGCTCACTGCAACCTCCGCCTCCTGGGTTCAAGCGATTCTCCTGCCTCAGCCTCCCGAGTAGCCAGGACTACAGGCGCGCTAATTTTTGTATTTTTAGTAGAGACAGGGGTTTCATGATTTTGGCAAAGCTGGTCTTGAACTCATGACCTGAGGTGATCCACCCACCCACCTCAGCCTCCCAAAGTGCTGGGATTTACAGGCGTGAGCCACCGCGCCCCACTCCAGGGGCTTTCAATAGCTGGTCTCTGAGGTCAAGACGGACACCTCATCACAGGAAAAAGAAAAAAAAAAAAAAAGCAGCTGTGCCTCAGTTTCCCCTGGTAGACCCTGCTCTTCCCCCTCATTCTCTGCCCCTTCATGTTCCAGCTGTGGTGTTTCAGGCTTTGCCACTATTCGGGGCTCTCCTCCCTCCCTCTCGTCTGCGTCGGGGGCTTGGCACGTGTCTTCCTGGGTGGTCTCCACTGGCACGCGGCGTCTCTGTTGCCCTGTTTTCCCCTCCGCCCCGTCAGTCCCTCCAGCCCTTGTACTTCTGTCTTGCACGGTGGACCCTTTTGTTTGTTCCTTGTGAGTTGTCGCTCTCCCCCTGACCCCGGCTAGGGGAGACCCCGTGAGGGGTGTCAACTGTGCCTTGTTCATGGCTGCGTCCCTAGCCCAGAGGTTCTCAACCGGGAGTGACTCCCTGCCCCAGTGTCACCCCAGCCTCACCCCAGGGCATCTGACCAAGTCTGAAGACTTTTGTACTTGGGACTGGGGAAGGACTCTCGGCATCTCGTGGGTGGAGGCCGGGGGCGCGGCTCAGCATCCCACAGGGCTCAGAGAAGGACCCAGCCCCAAAAGTCGACAGCACCAACGATGGGAAACCCCACAGCAGCCCCTAAAGCAGTGCCTGGAGCTCACTCAGTACTTGTTGGGCGACTCACGCCTATAATCCCAGCACTTTGGGAGGCCAACGCAGGCGGATCACCTGAGGTCAGGAGTTCGAGACCAGCCTGACCAACATACCAAAACGCCATCTGTACTAAAAATGCAAACTTAGCCAGGTGTGGTGGTGCACACCTGTAATCCCAGCCACTCAGGAGCCCGAGGCAGGAGGATCGCTTGAACATGACCCGAGACAGCCCCACTGCTCCCCAGCCCGGGCAACAAGAGCAAAACCCCACCTCAAAAAAAACAAAAACAAAGAGCGTGTGGTTGCTGCATTTCTTCTCCATCATGCGTGTTGATTTACCTGACTCTGCAGCACGCGCTCTCTCTGCCCTGACATCAGCTGCTTTCCAGAGGAAATGACCCTGGAAGAGCTTTCACTCCTGACCTGTCCCTCTGCTCTCAAAGGGACGGAGGGAGGGCCTGGTCCTGGCTGGGTTCTGTCTGCTCCTCTCCGCCGTGGGGCCGTCCTTCCGGCACTCTGTGGGTCTGTGGCTGGCACTCGTATCTTGTCCTGTCTTTACACACCCCCATAGCCCTCACCCCATCCTTTCTCATCCCAAGGGAAAAGGGAGACCTCCCCCACTTCCCAGGACACGGATGGAGTGAGAAGAAGAGGTGGGGGATGACAGACACACTCATGGGCGCCTGAGCCCCTCTCCGCTGTTTCTCTAAGCCCCTCACTCCTCATCCAGATGATGACGAAGATGACAGGAAGGTGTGAATGGCTTTGCTGGGAAGGAGGAAGGAGGAGGGGGGAGTGACGTCCACTCCACGTGAGACCAGGCAGAGGAGAGGGCGTGCTGAGGGCTTGGAGCTGGGTTACCTGGAGCCCGGGGGAGGGCCAGGGAAAAGTGGTAAGTCCTTGCTGCCCATTAGCTAGATGGTGAAAAATAAATGGGGTAGGTCCAAAGCTTGCCCCCTCCTCACACACACACACAGACACACACACACACACACACACACATGCAAAACTCAAGAAATGTCTGTTTCTTCTCATTTCTTTCTTTCTCGCTCTGTTTCCCAGGCTGGAGTGCAATTGTGCGATCTTGGCTCACGGCAACCTCCGCCTCCTGCATTCAGACAATTCTCCTGCCTCAGCCTCCTGAGTAGCTGGGACTACAGGCACGCGCCACCATGCCCAGCTAATTTTTTGTATTTTTTTATTAGTAGAGATGGGGTTTCACCATGTTGACCAGCTTGGTCTCGATCTCTCGACCTTGTGATCCACCCGCCTCGGCCTCCCAAAGTGCTGGGATTACAGGCATTTTTTTTATTTTGAAATAATTTCACACTTACAGGAAAGTTGCTCAAAACATTCCCAGATATTCTGATTTTCCAAATATTTACATTTCACCACATTTCACTTCTGTGTTCTGTCTCCCTGCGTCCCCTCACCCCCTCCCCCTCTTCCTTCGCCCCCTCCGCTCTCTCCCTCCCTTCCTGCATGTGGGGGGAAAAGCCTGAAGTTGGGGAGCTGCTATGTCGCCTATCACCAGGAGGGGTCGTGAAACCCAGGTGGGCGTCGGGAGACCGAGGGCCCCGGGCCAGAAGGCCTCGCAGCCCCCACCCCTACGCTGCCCCCTCCCTACCACACTTCTGTTGCTGAAGCCATTTGACTGAGTGAGTGAGTTGAGATGGAGTCTCGCTCTGCTGCCCAGGCTGGGGTGCCGTGGCACAATCCCGGTTCACTGCAACCTCTGCCTTCCAGGTTCTAGCAATTCTCCCTCCTCAGCCTTCTGAGTAGCTGGGATTACAGGAGTGTGCCGCTTTGCCCGGCGAATTTTTTGTATTTTAGTAGAGATGGGGTTTCACTGTGTGGCCCAGGCTGGCGTCGAACACCTGAGCTCACCGAATCCACCCACTTCGGCCTCCCAAAGTGCTAAGATTACAGGCATGAGCAACCGCTCAGGGCCGACTTAGATTTATTTGTAAACCCACATTATTGAGGGATAATCTGTATACCAAGAACTGCACTAGTTACTGTCACCACTCCATGGCTGTGACACAAATACCCCGACACCATCACCGCGGACCACGGTTCCCCTGTGGTTTTGTTTCTCTCTCTCTTTTTTTTTTTTTTAATATTTGTGATAGGCTGGGCTTGGTGGCTCACACCTGTAATCCCAGCACTTTGGGAGGTCGAGGTGGGTGGATCACCTGAGGTCAGGAGTTCAAGACCAGCCTGATCAACATGGAGAAACCCCGTCCTTACCAAAAATACAAAATTAGGCCGGGCGCGGTGGCTCACGCCTGTAATCCCAGCACTTTGGGAGGCCGAGGTGGGTGGATCACGAGGTCAAGAGATCGAGACCATCCTGGTCAACATGGTGAAACCCCGTCTCTACTAAAAAAAAAAAATACAAAAAATTAGCTGGGCATGGTGGCACGTGCCTGTAATCCCAGCTACTCAGGAGGCTGAGGCAGGAGAATTGCCTGAACCCAGGAGGCGGAGGTTGCCGTGAGCCGTGATCACGTCATTGCACTCCAGCCTGGGTAACAAGAGCGAAACTCTATCTCAAAAAAAAAAAAAAAAGAAAAAGAAAATATTCTGGGACCTTTTTTTTGAGACGAAGTCCCACTCTGTCACCCAGTCTGGAGTATGGTGGGGCAATCTCAGTTCACTGCAACCTCTGCCTCCCAGGTTCAAGCCATTTTCCTGCCTCAGCCTCCCGAGTAGCTGGGATTACAGGGGCCCACCACCACACCCAGCTAACTTTTTGTATTTTTAGTACATACTGGTTTCACCATGTTGGCCAGGCTGGTCTTGAACTCCTGACTTCAGGTGATCCACCTGCCTCGGTCTCCCAGAGTGCTGGGATTACAGGCATGAGCCACTGCACCCCACCTCTGGGATTCTTTTTTTTCTTTTTCTTTTTTTACCCTGATTTTACAACCATGGGATTCTTAATATACACATCCAGATTGCCTTTCTTTTTTTTTTTTCTCTCTCTCCTTCCGGTCTGGGTAACCGACCAGATTGCCTTTCGACAATCACACACCAGTTTTCACTTCCATCAGCACCACAGAAAGATTCCCGTTTTACTTGAGAAAGTTACAGTTTTAAGTCCAGGTGTGGTGACTCACGCCTATAATCCCAGCACGTTGGGAGGCCGAGGCTGGCGGATCACGAGGTCAGAAGATTGAGACCATCCTGGCCAATATGGTGAAACTCCATCTCTACTAAAAATACTAAATTAGCCAGGCATAGTGGTGAGCACCTGTAATCCCAGCTACTCAGGAGGCGGAGGCAGGAGAATCATTTGAACCTGGGAGACAGAGGTTGCAGTGAGCTGAGATCGCACCATTGCACCCCAGCCTGGGTGACAGAGCAAGACTCCATCTCAAAACAGAAAAGAAAAGGAAAAAAAGTTACAGTTCTTAGGGAAAGTTCGTGGGAGAGGCTGGAAAAATACTGCTGATGTGGGAGAAACACCTCATCAAATTATTGAACAGGAAGGGTTGAATTCTTAGCTTTTCAAAGAGGGATGGGTGGGTGAGGCTGGAAATCACGCTGTTGGAAAGATTCAGGTGTGGAAGTGGCTACCGGAGGGGAATCTGCCTCAGGGAGAGAGGCGTCAGCGTGGACCCTCCCGGGAACATTTCTGTGCAGAGTCAAGGTGAGTCAGACAGAGGGAAGCGGAGCTGACGTGAGGTCCAGAGCTGAGAGCCGCATGTGAAGCACATCATCCAGGCTGACGCTGTGTTCACACGAGTGAGTCAAGTGGGGGCACGTGGAGAGGATCGGGCTGACTCAGGCGGGAGCCATCCAGGGCGGGAGGACGTCCTGGGTTTGTCAGATGAGGATGATGGGGAGGAGATGACATGAGCAGATGCCTCAGCCTTCCAAAGGCAGTGGCCGTCCAGTCACGAAAACAAGAGTACAGAAGCAACCGGCAGCCTCCT